GTGCATAATGGTCAGGGACACAGGCTCTGAGGCCAGACTTACTATGTTGAAAGACTGCCCTTACCAGCTCTGTGACCTTGGGGAACTTACTTCTCTGTTGCTCAATTTCCAAAGAAGGGTTCAAGAATATGATTTACCCTGGAAAAGCCTTTTTCTTTCTGTTAATAAGGATTATATATCAGATATTATATTCTCTAATAAACTTTTCTTACTCAGCTGTTCACCCTTCCAGCTAAGTTAGTTGGCTCATGGTGATAAAACTATTCTTTTCTGTTTCACACCCTGTTGGGGTCTAAGTTGTGTCCCCCTAAGTTCATATGTTGTGTGTGAAGATAGAGTGTTTAAAGAGATAATGAAGGTAAAATGAGGTCATATGGGTGGGCCAATGCCCTTGTAAGAAGATATTAGGACACAGACGCACACAGAGGAGAGACCATGGGAGAAGATGGCTGTCTGCAAGCCAAGGGGAAAGGCCTCAATGAAACCAACACTGCTGACACCTTGATCTCAGACTTAGCCTCCAGAACTTTAAGGAGATAAATTGCTGTTGTTTAAGCCACACAGTCTGTGGTACTTTGTCATGGCAGCCCTGACTATAACCAGTACCCTATGAAAACTGTAAGGGCAGAAATTGTATCTTCACTGCATCTTTAATTTTACTGAAAACCCTTATTACAAGGAGTGAGAAAGAAATCAGAATTTATTAGGTATCTACTATATGCAGGCACTGTTTTGGGTACTTTACGTATGTTACCTTACTTAATTGTCCCAACAATACTATGAAGTAGGTATTAAGCCCATTGTATTGATAAGGAAACAGAGGCTGAGAAGACAGTAAGGAACTTAATCAGGTGTGTTTTACTTCAGAAGGGTTCCAGAACAATGTTTGTGTCATACAATAAAATAATTTGTTTTTCAAAAAACATTTGAAGTACCAAACAAAATTTCAAAGAAAATGTTTAAAGGTCTGTTGCATTTAAATTGTGTTTATTCTTTTCCTCTTCCAGAAGAACTGGATCCATAGGGTGGTATTTTTGTTTCACTGATTTTGAGTCAAAGAAGGAAAGCACTTTGTAGTAATTGGAGCTGTCTAAAATGGAGTGGATTCTGTTACTAGATCCACTATAGCTAGTGCTAGACAAAGCCTTTACTGGGGTTGTTAACTTTGAGAATTCATACTTTGGGTAGCAGGTTGTAATGTATGACCATTGTGTTCGCCATAAACTCTTAATTAGTTTAACACTCTTATTGTATGTCTGTT